AATTTATGTGCTGGAGGAGAAAACAACATATTCAGCGGTATTCTGTTGAGAGAGAGAGAGAGAGAGAGAGAGAGAGAGAGAGAGAGAGAGAGAGAGAGAGAGCCCAGAACCTTGCACAATTGTGCACGCGCCTTTCAAATAACCAGTATACATTTGGGGGCGGGAATTTGTTTGCTTGGTAGGTAGAGACCCGGAAGTTTCGCGAATTCTTCGAGGACAAGCTAGACTTCAAACACATATACATTTGACTATTTCCAATTGTATTGCAGTTCGTTAGCCAATCCCTGGACGATTTCTTTTTGTATTGGAAAGACCTTATTAACGTCCCTCGCTGTTATACCTGAAGGCTTATCACGTGACGGCTTACAAACTAACTTACGACCTAACTTATACTAACACTCATGCCTTAGGATGGGTTTACTACTATATAGGCCTACTAAAGAATTAAGAATTGCACTTAATAACTCGATAAGCAGACGTGAGATGAACAATAAGAAGATTTGCAATTTATGATTGAATTAGCAACTGCTAATGTCTAGCCAATCAGAATCGTTTAAGACGAAAGCAGCCGACATCACCCGGAAATCTGAACAAGCGTGAAGATTATGTACAAATATTTAATTATTTGTGGTCGTGGTTACTGCTTGTGTAAACGTTTTGAAAAACTCGAGATATCTTATAGAAGTAAAAGTCGATGCCAGCATTGGGCATTTACGTCAATACATGTGAAAAGGTTAATTAAATCGACTTCAATAACCTCTTCAAGAAAGAAAACACGGCCACGAACTGTTCTTTAAATTCAGAGGATAAAGTCTCTCGATTAAAATAATTGTTTGCATTTGATTTCACAATATGACATAACCTAAATCCAAGATGTAAATAAAGTTTCCCGCCATCAACAAATGTCACTGGTCTCTGATTGGCTAGTTCGTATGATATCTGAAGCCACGCCAAGAACGCGCAAAACACGTCAAGATCCGCACACGGCACACTTAATCTGTTAAGTCAATCGTAAACCTACTTTTACGTGGGATTCGAACTCAGGACCTCCCGCACCGCATACCTGCGGCGCGCCAACCGACTGCGCCACGGGAGGTCGGCTGGATGGATCTGAGCCAGTAAATTATCAGCAAGATAAACGCGACCGAATCCCATTCTACCTGGTCTTGGGTAAAATTATGGAGCATCAGCCAATGAACAACTACCTGAGGCTCGAGTACACGAACGAGTGTGGAGCGAGAAATGAATCCGCGTAATCTCCGGGTGAATATTGGTAAGTGACTGGGCTACAATGTCGATCTTCATGCCTCCTTGAGATGCGCTCCTGCCCCATTATTTTTTCACGTTGATACTAAATTTCCTGTTCTAAAACCCATTTCTGTTGTGATTTGTATTGTGACAGGCCATTTTGAGTTATGGCTGTATTAGTAGGCTAAATAGAATATACCACGTAAATATAAGTTTTGTTAGAATTGTGATATAAACTTTCTATTTATTTGTAGTGAGTAGCATAGTTTAATGTGTGTATTGGAAATACCGTTACGTGTGTAGTTTTAATTTTAATATTCCTTAACGTAAAGGATGAGGAAAGCAGTAAAGGGTCGTAATTAATAGTGTCATGGGTACCAGCCAGCTATTTTTTGCGAAGGGTAATTTTAGTAGTATAACAATGCACGCATAATTCTTTCACGTTAAATAAATATAATATTGTATTTCAAATCTTAGACAGTTTAACACGAAGAAATTATATTATGTCACATAATACATATTGCAGTTTTATATCGACTGCGCTGTAAGAATTTTCTTTCCCTGCTAAAACATGCTTTGGAAAGTAATGTCTCATTGATGCAGCCTTTGGCGACAGTTTGATAGTGCCGCACTGACCTCTATCCGCTGAACTTGAATCGTGGTCAGTGCGGCTGACGCTTGATGCAGAGTGGTAGACGATGAGTTATTGTCCGTATTGTCGTTCATTAGACCACAGAACAGAGAGAGAGAGAGAGAGAGAGAGAGAGGGCATGAAAACATACTTTCAGATTGAGTTCACGACTTGAAATATCTAGATGAAGCGTTCGTGTTGCGTCATAGCTCTCCATACCGCTATGGTTTTTGGACAGCACAAGCCTTGTCGCCAACGTAAAAGTGCTGTAGTTCGTATAACAGCACTCATTGACGTAGGCGAAAATTTCCTGTGAAAAATAATCCCTTGAGAGTAACAAATTTATGTTTAGTTGATGAACCTCAGCTTCCAGATTAGTTGAATTTCACCAGTAAAAAGGTTCATCCAGGATATTTTTTTAATGCATGTAGCCCAGTGTACGTAGGGACCACGGTGGCTGAGCGGTTAGACTGCTCGCCTCCCACCATGGCGAAGCGGGTTCAATCCCCGGCTGGGTCACTCCCGGATTTTCGCAAGTCGAAGTGGGAATCGTGCCGGACGATGCCGCTGCTCGGTGGGTTTTCTCGGGAATCTCCCGTTTCCCCCGCCCTTGCATTCCGGCGCCGCTTCATTCTCGCCTCATTTCACCCCCATCGGCTTTCAAGACGTCGTTGTTAAGGTTGAAGTAAAGCAACTGCCTATGGAGCACTGCACCCGACTATACAACGTGAAGAACTCATAAAAAATTAGCACAGACACCACAAAAATGATCAGAAAAGTGTGATTTATGTTGTATATGAAAGAAGACTGCATATATTTTGCAAAAATTATAAAATATTTAACCAAAAAATACTTTTCAAATGTAAATAAATCAATCAATTGATAAAGCCCGCATTTTTAACCAAATTTAAGCGCATTTACGTTTTGGATGCTTCGGAAAGCAGAATTTACAAGAAAATCTTCATTCAAGATTGTCATAATATTTACTGTTATAAAGTGTAGTATAATAATAGTAATGATGTATCATATTAATTTTATAATTAACTTTATTACGTCAGTGACAAATGGACGAACATAAAATCAACTAAGTATAAAAATTATTTCCAAAATTATTATTACAATTATCTTACAATCGTAATAAACATTATGGCGATATTCCACGACGAAGATTTTCTTGCAAATTCTGCTTTCTGGAGCGTCCAAAATGTAAATATACTGAAATTTTGTTTATATAATATATATATATATATATATATATACAGATTATTTTAATTGGTTTATTATCATGCATTTAAAAATTCTACAATATTTTATAATGTTTCATAATATATACATTCCTCTTTCATATACAGCATAATCACACTTTTCTGAAAAATTTTATGGCGTATGTACTACCTTTTTTAATGAGTTCTTCACGTTGTATAGTATAGTGGAGTGCTCCATAGGCAGTTGCTTTACTTCAACCTTAAGAGCCGCCAAAATTTCTCAATTGAACTTAGCTCAACTTGTTGTACTTGCCTAATACAGGATTGTATTATTTATCCGTGGGCGGCAGACAGTCGATGGCGTGCAGAATCGAGATCGACTTGGCTCTGTCTGTGTAGTAATTTCGCTGCAAGTAGCATGCACAGCGTCTAGCTGTAACTCGCCCTTCTTCGCCCTTCCGTGACAGCCCCTTGGCGAGGGGGTAATAGCCGCCGGCGCGCCCTACTTCATAAGGCAAAGGGAGTGCCAAGTACTGACATGCCCCGTGCAACAATGTACCAACAGCTTCCCAGCCACCTGCGTGTCGAGAGGCCTATAGGCTGTTCACGGTAAAGTGAGCACTTTTCAGGCTCTAGTTACTTTCTTTCCTATCAGCCTTTTTTTTTATCCTTTCGCTACTTTTTAAAACAAATATTGGCCATGTAAGTAATAAACACAGTTTATATATTTCACCGGACTCTAAAGTTAACGTCTAGGTCTACAATAAAGTATTGTTATTGTCATTTATTCGAAATGAGAGAGGTATGCAAAAAGTGCTCACTTTACCGTGAATCGCCTATAGAAACTCCTATACATGCTTTATCAGCTGCGGTAATTGTACAAGGAGAAGGAAAGGGGGGGAATTTATCCTCTTAAGAGTTTACCTTGCAAAATTGTTTGCATTATAACTAGCCCAACCCAAAAAGAAAATTTGTATTGTATGCGTAATTACAAAAATGCTCTACAAATAATCTCTATTTTCAACATGACTGTTGCTAAGCGAGATTGTAATTATTCTTGTGTTTTGCTGACGGGTTTAAACGAACTGGACAGCGCGCGTGCGGACAAACTATTTATTGTAATAGAAATGAATTAAAATGCACAACATAGTTCTCCATCCGAAACCATGTTTTGAACCCCGCCACCTGATCATACATAGCCTCTAGGTAAAAGAAACTGCATTGGCGTAAGTTTTTCCGTCGGCAACTATCCTCACATATGTTTCACGTACAGCGGTACTGCTGTTGTATTGTGGTTAATAATAAATATATAAATACGCTATACATCTCTGTTATACTTTAAATAACCTGTGCCAGAGTGAAAACACCCGCTTTAGCCATTTTCCCTTTCACTGCACGAGGTTCCACACGTGAAAAGTTTCGTAATTCTTTTTTTTTTTTTCCCCCGCTTAGAAGTAGGCACTAAGCAGTTTTTGTAATATAACTTTTTATTATTATTAATATGTATATCGGCTCAACGTTTAACGTCGCAAGGCCCTTATCGTAACTGGTGCCATGTTTTCGAAGCGTACATATTTTCTTACCGTAAATGGTCACGCTTTAGACTTGTTCGAAATATTAATGCGTCATCGACAGCAGAGATATTGCAACCAGAGGCAGTGGTTAGGACGATCAGGCTGGGGGGGGGGGGGAGGGTAACGGCCAACATTCGCCTGTAAGTAATGTTGGAAAATGGAAATCAGGATGATTGCACCGGGGGACCGAAACTGGGCCCTCCCGAATGTCAGTCTAATGTGTTACCACTTTAGGAAAAAAATCTGTATTGAGTGTTTCATTTGGACTACAATAGTGTTAGATGACATCCCCCCCCCCCCCACGCAGGGTGAGTAATACCAACGTACCAAAGTTGACATTCATGCCCTACCCGGGAACCGAGCCTGGGACCCTTCTCGTCGTCAGCCGGCACGCTACCAACTGCGCCACGGAGGCCGGCTTTCACTTCCAGATTAGCATTGTTTCATGGACCCTTGAGGGGCGTATCTGAGTTCGTGAAGGTGAAGGTCTTAATAAAAAAATAAAATAATTAAATTTTATGTCTAACGTATTCACGCAGCTATTATTTACAGCATTCAGGTACCTATCTCCGCTCTTACTTTTTATTTCTTAGTGAACCCAATATTTAATATCTATTTCTACTCTAATTAACGTCCTTCTTGTCTCTGTTTAGTTATTGTCAATTAACTCATACTCGTCATTAACACGTGTTCATTCTATCTGTTGCCGTCATTTGTAACGTATTTCACTCACGCATTTTGTCCAATAGTTCAGCCTGCCAGCCGCACCCTTCACCGCTTGATACTCGCAGTCGCAGATACCCCGTCCGCTGGTCACTTCTCTCGTCGCTCGTCTTCTATCGCTCGGAACTCATCCACTCATTCATTCATTCATCAACTCCAACTCCCAGCCCGGAGGCTTACCGCAATATTTATAGTGTTCCCTGATCATATGGAAGGATCAACGCACCCCGAGTCCTACTGAGAGGACGAGGTCAGTAATCCAGAGCAGTCTTCAGATAAACGCAGAAATCAATACTGCCAGGGTAAGCAGCTTGAGTAAAAAAAGAGATTAAAGTGTTGGATCGCTTTCTGTAGCTGATACGCGGCCGCCGCTATCACATAACGAGTCTGTCCTCACTAGCTCGCGCCGGACGGGCCAAGGTCAGCAGCGCAGACCAGCGACACGTTGGAACACTTTGACTAACTTGAATATATTCTAGTTGCGTTAAGGCATATTCCCACCCGCAATCTTGAATTTATGGGATTTTCGCCATACTCTGGAAATATAGTTTTATATGATGTTTTTTTTTGGAACATCAGAGCACAGAGCATTACCTAGTGTTTTGTCTGAGGTCTGTATTTCTTGAATAGGCCAATATCGTCGCCTTTGTAATCGTTCGCAAGAAATAACCTCGCGTTTCGCCTGGACAGTTACCAGCTAGAAATTAATAAATGTAGCGAAGCTGTGGCAGTTCGATAAAGTTTGGAAAGCTGTTATTTAAGTAGGATATGTCGTGCGGGAAATTTCAATACACCTTTTGAAATAGAAGCTTTGACAAAAAAAAAATCGATAAATCCAATATGGCGGGTGGGAATCCGCCTTAACAGTAAGTTCGAGGAAGCGTGCTAACAACGCATAGCAATTGTGCGTGGCGTGTTCTAACCTCAAATCAAATGTTGGCAGAAAAGCGGAACACTGAGAGTGACGTGTGAGGAGCTCGTATGCGCACTCTACCCTACCCTCCAATGTCGTAAACAACGAGTCGCGAACCGCCACCATTACTCATGCGAACTTGTGCCTCGTTTACACAGAGTAGTAGTCGCGGCGGCGACAATGTAGTACTCGCGGAGACAATTTGTAAGACAAACCAGGAAAATTTGCATCCTCATGCAACTTTCATTGTTGCGCCCGTGCTTCCTCGACACCTCTCCCCCTCCACCCCTTTCTCATTCATGTTTTGTCGGAGAAGAGATGCAAATCCTGTCGGCTGCTCGCGGAAAGTAGGCGTGTTGGAAGTTTTGAATGTCAGCCGTAAAGTTGTTTGGTGTAATATCACGCCTCCATAAGCGTGTCTCACTTGTTTTCTAAAGTCGACTGGTGCGTGTCGTGCTACTCAACATCCTTCTGATTGTTACTTTTCCGGACGTGCGAAATATTCATTCTGCGCATGCCAATTTTAAGCAACAAGATAGGTAACCAATCGTCACCAGTTAATATACTTCGATAATTCATAAAGAAGTAGTTTGTCAGGCTGTTGTACTCGTAAGTCGTTGATAACGTTTCTTAATACGTATAGGCTGTTCAGGATAAAGTGAGCACTTTTGAAGCCCTAGTTACCTTTTTATTTCAACTAATTTATGTCCTTCCACCACTTATCAATGTAAACCCTGCCATTTGTGAGTAATAAGCTCAGTGCATACATTCTCCATACCCAAAACCAAACGTCCGAGGCCATAATGAAATGTATTTATTGATTATTATGTCTGATGAAGCATCTTCAAAAAGTGCTCACTTTACCTGGGACGGCTTATATCCATGTGCCGTACGTAAAGACTCGACGTACATGTAACTATAGTCCATTCCCCATTGGAAGCTACTTTCTCGGAGCCCTGCTAAATATCTTCTTGCAGGCCCGTTTCGTGTCATTCTGCCAGATGTAAACAAACATTGCAATGTGACTACCATGTAGCATCTGTCAAAATCAATGATTACATTCCATTGTGTGTGCACATATGTTCGTATACTTTCGCTACACCTAAAAATAAACATTGAAATGTGACTTCTACTTTTATGCCTGTCAAATGTGTTGTTTACTGTTTACAGTTTTTCAAAGAATTCTGTCTTAGGTCTATTTCAAAAACCATTTCGTACGAATATTCACAGTGGTCAGCTTTATGGCGTTTTAAAAATGCCTGAATTAACGGTAGTTCTTACCTTTATTTTACATTAACATATTTGTTTTCCACGACATAGCTCAATACGTTTAATCCACGTTGGTATTTTGCCGCGACTGTGTTTAACACTGTTACAACTGCGAGGTAAAGAGCTGTACTAATTGTAATTATCCTTTTGTTATTGATATGTGTTGGGTCATTTCTCTAAAAGGACGCCTCCGTTGGAACAAATATTAAAACGAAGGAACAACCAGAGAAAAAGGCACATTAAATTCAAGCACGCAACTCGTGTTGCTCATATATATATATATATATATATATATATATATATATATATATATATATATATATATATATATATATATATATATATATATATATATATATATAAAATCACTGTAGTTTACTTCAGAGTACTGTATTACAGAATAAATGAAACTTTACCTTAATATCTTCTATAACTTGTAATATGTATTCCTTTTTTAGATATGAATTAACAACAGCGAGTGCAGCGATATATATTTAAGGAATACATGTTATTGAAAAAACAGGTTAACATGTTAAGCGTAGTGTGTTTTTTCAAAGGTTGATTTTCATAAGTCGCTTCCAATCGGATATGGACTTTAGACAGAAATTGAAGCGACACACCGTAGTCACGCCGTTATGGAGATTTATTCACAGTCGCATAAGGCCCACCGCACGTCATATTTTAGATTGTAGTACCGACCAAACTACGTACCAGGCACTACATCAATGGGAAGGTGTCCCCATAGCTTTTCATCCTTCTGGAAACACAATATAGTACTTAACTTCAGTTTCTCGTATAGGTATCTCAAGTTTTGTCTTCGTAGCTCAGGGTTTTCTCGGGGTAGTTCCTTGTTGAAAGTGCCCGGAGATACGCAGTGTTCCTCAAGCTTGTGAAGAGAACAAAAGTGATCTTAATTTGTCGCATACGGGTGTGCACGGCTGTAAGTTAAATGTCATTTCTGTGGCCAGACAAGATGATTAAAACTTGTTGCCTGCACACGTATGTAACTTCCCGAAAGAATTAAGTTTATTTGGAAATTAATATTTTAATTAATTTTTTAACTTGAAAACTTACCTATATCAGTTTTTTTTTCCCTTTACCACGTAGGTCGCCTTCCTTTGTTAAATCCTTCCAAGGGTCCTAAGGAATATAGGTTATTGTTGGTTGGATGTATAAGATTTAAACATTTTCCGAATATTTGCACACTCGTCTCAAACCTCTATATTCGTGTTTTTTTTTTTTTTAATCCGGAACATTTCGTTTTTACAATTTTTTCGGTTGGGACTATGGACGACAAAAAATGCGATGAAACCAAGTGTGGCAGGCATGGTTACCTAGTACTCGACTGTCTGTTCGCCGTCAGGATTAACACAAAATAAAGTTGGCAGTTTTATTCCTTCGTTACTGCCGCTTTCAGGACACTGCAACAAGACGAGAGTGGGTTTAGCAAGCTTGGCTCACTGAGGAAAATACCCACCAGAGGTTTTGTAATCGCAAGAATAATGGCGCAGAAGGGCTTTCGTGCACAACTTCTTGCTGTAGCACGTGACGCATTAACATTTGAGGAAGATTGGCCGTTTATCCGTACAGGAATTTTTCATTTGAAAATCTGTAGAAAAAACAATTGTTCTCTTTGATGTATTTTTTTTTAAATCCCTCTGGACGAACTTAGTAGTAGTGAGATCATATTAAAATCGCATGTTCATCGTTAACTCGTGTAGGGACAGTGGCGTAGACTGGGGAAAGGACGCCACCGACCCTCGTATGCCACCGGAATGACACGTGTGCCGTGAGACTGGGAGCCTAAGCTCCCATAGCTCATTGGGTGTTTGTAAGAACAATTTTCACCTCGACACTGGACTAATCATAGGGTCCGTGGCGGGTGCCGTGTCAGTGTAAGTTTTAATCTCGTCACGTATTTTTTATGTAAATTTACGTGTTGAAGCTCCCTCCAGCCGGGAGGCTGGAGTGAATGTAAGTGTCGCGATGTCTGTCTAACGTGTTGTTCTGTTGTATGCAAGTGTGCTAGTTAATCTCGCGTGTAGCGTGTAAGGCGAGTCCGTCGTCTCCCTCGGGGACAGTCCACGGAGTACGTTTCATCGTGTTGACATAGGAAAGAAAATCCAGTATTAGTAACATAGAGTAGGGGGTAGGGGGGTTGCCTTGCGACCAGAGTTTGCCAGACTCTGGTAATGCCAGAGCCGCCCCTCCCCCTTGTTCACACTTCAGCGGGGATCGTCTTCTTCCCGACCTGAACCAGACATATCAGGTCGGTGTGTCAAATAAGTAATAGTGTTAGTAACATATAAAGTTGTAAGTTTTTTTTTTATTATATTTATAATATTAAGTAATGACATATAGAAACGTAATTACGTGCTGATTATGCAGGAGCAGTGGACTCCAACAGTAGCAGGATTGGAATCAAAATTAGGACTGTAAAGACCAAAATTTAGTGTCCTGAAACTTGCGGCACGACGCGAACGAGTGCAAAACCAGTTTTGTAAGTAGAA